ATGTGTTCATTATTCCACCAAAATGATGAACTGATTTTTTAAAAAAAATAGTCTTTTCTAGCCGAACTCTCCTTTCTAGAAATATATTGTATGACCTACATTATATTCCTTTAGAAAATATTGTAAGAGAGTCATTAATGTTCTTACCTTCTTCCCCTAGTGTGTGGAAAGCTTAATGTTGGACATCCTTGTACTAAGGTTTTGAACAAGCTTCCTATTGTAAACTCATTTTTAGGGTACCGTGGCCCTCTGAGTGTCTGAAGTTCTAAAGTCAGACAGTGGTATATAAACAAAGGTAGGTATGTGAGCATCTGGATAGGAGACGATCTTAGAAAATCAGAGATTTGGACTCTCTCAGAGGACTAAAGCTGGGTGGAAGTCTTCATCCCCCCCCCACTGCTTTTGATTGGCCCAGAAGGCAGGGGTACAAGCAGATGCAGGGACCGATAATCCCAAACACCATGGAGGTGGCTGGAGGACTCACAACCCCCAGCAGCAAAGCCTGGGGCAGTCTGAGGCATTCCCCTAGGAGAGTTATACTCAATCATTCCACTAGACAGAGCTGCTGACAGGGTCCGAGGTTTCCAGTGCCACCCAGCTGCACGGGGAATGACTGTCCATGTCTCCAACAGAGTCAGACCTCAATTGGGAGAAGCTGGACAAACCCTCTGCCTGGCTTCTCTTGCAGAATTCTGCCCATGTCGGCAGCTTGGGGCTGTCACCGTCAGTGTCCAGATGCAGTGACTTTGACCGTGAATCCATTCAGCACAGGTGGACTCAGCATTTGCTTGCTGGCCAAACAGAGGGAGGGATCTTGACCATCCCTCCGAGCTGCTAAACTTGCTGATAAGATTTTCCTCGTCATTTCTTGCCCGACTCCATTCAGGCCAATGTTGTGCGAAGTTTGCCTCCTGAGCACGCCCAAATGCATCCTTTGGGGGAAAGAAATGTGCGGGGGAACAGCTGGGATGCTTCCAGCGGAACATAAAGCCCAAGGTTCCTAAGCCCTCCCCGAGACACATCACTGCCATCTCCTAGGTCCACCCGGCCAGAACGTCACCCTTTCGGGGGCTACGCCCCTCTCTGGAAGCCCAGGAAGCAGGAAAGAAATCAGCACATCCACCAGAGGGTTCGGGTCAAAGTTTTTCAAGCCACTTAAAAATTATGGAAAAAACCCTAAGCCGAGAAGCTTTTTTTTTTTTTCTTTAAGGTTTACCCTATCGCCACTCTGGAGTACTTACTCGCCGGGAGGAGGCAGGAAGTGGCTGCCCACTTCAGGACCCAGTCAGATTACAGTGACTGGGTCATGGAATGGATAGAGATAACACCGCAGAGGGCAAGCGTGGGTGGAGGGCCTTCTGATCCTGCGTAGCTGAAACACCCCTGAAAATCCCAAAGGAAGGGACGAGAGAGATGGCTAAGTGGCCAAGATTGCTTGCCGCTCTCAGAGGTCCCAAGTTCTCCCTCCCAGCACCCATGTGGTGACTCAAAACTGTAATTCCAGTTTCAGGGGATTCTGGGCCTCCGGCCTGTGGTCTCCTACTGTACTACACTCACACACACACATACACACAGATAATAAAAGTAAATCTAGGTTAGGTGTTGGTACATGCCTTTAATCCCAGTACTTGGGAGGCGGAAGAAGGTGGGTCTCTGTGAGTTCAAGGCCAGCCCGGTCTACAGTTCCAGGACAGCCTCCAAAACAATACAGAGAAACAAAAAAAGTATCTAAAAGGAAAGAACAAGATCCAGGAAGATGTTCTGTAGTCTTAGGCCCAATGAGACTCCAGCATTTAAGTGGACCATGTTGATTTCTAGCAATAGCTCGTCTGTCCTGGGTCAGAGCAAACCAAGGCCTCTTGTGAAGTTTAGAGATGCTGTCCTGGTCGTGTGTGTGTGTGTGTGTGTGTGTGTGTGTGTGTGTGTGTGTGCGCGCGTGAGCGCGCGAGAGAGATGTCTTTCCCAAGAGCATGGAGTAAAGGGAGGGGTCTGGTCTTCTTATCCAGTTCCCAGGGCCAGCAAAGGGTGTTCTGAGGTAGGAGACGCTCATTCACGGATTCATTCATTCAAATGTACGTGTGTAAATGTGCTCATTTCCGGATGGGTGTGCGCGTACACTCGGGTCTCTGGCCCCTTCTGGAGGCTTGGCATAACATTTGATGTGAGTTGAGAATAAAAATGAAGCCTCAAGGGACGCATGCTCCAAAATCTCACGTTACAGGCCAAGGGAGCAGGTGTCCCAAGATAGGATCCCATGTTCGTGAAGCACAGAGAGGCGTGAGTGTCCAGGCTCCACTTCAGACTCTCCACATACCTCACCTCACGGGGACTCGCTTGTCTTCTGTGCAAAGGGGCAGCATGGTTCTCACCATGGAGGCGTTTCTTAGGGAGCTATACCATGCTCCCACACACACAGGCGATGCAGAGGGGCTTCTAAAGGTATTTCGAAAGACCAAGAGCCCTGCTGGTACTTTTAGTTCAAAATGGGGTGGGGCCAGAGAGCCGGATGCCAACATCTGTCAAGGCCTCCCAGGCAGCTCCATGATGGTTTTTTGCAAAGAAGAGTCCTCACATTAAGTATGCACGCCAGAATTGTGAGCAAACTGCGCTTTGTACAAATGCCAGCCTCTGGTCCCCGTCCCAGACCTCGGGGCCCAGCACTGGTGCCTCCCCTGACTCCCTTGCTGTTTGCCTCGCACGGGGCGAACCGCGAACCGACACCCCAGCATGCGGTTCAGATGCGTAGTCCTGGGAAGCATAAACACACGTCCTCTGTACATCCCTGCGGCCCTGCCCTGCTCACCTCAGGCCTGAGTCAAAGCTGCACTCCCCTACCATGCCTCGTCTGCAGACTCCATCAAGATGCACTCTCGTCACGCCCAGGTGCTCTTATGAAGAGCTTGCGCACCTCGGGTACCTGCCCGACTCAGCCCTGCGACTGAGCAAAGCTGAGTAAGAGCCAGTCGCTGTCCACTTGCTGAACCCTCCTACCCAGACCGCACTGACTTGTGAATCGGGATCCCAGGGTTTCCGGTCTGGGGCTCCAGACATGTGTCCCATCATACTGCCAGGGGTTCCCTGTCCACGCAGCAGTGCCTCTGGGGTGCCTGAATCTCCAAGTAGAGAAATAGCCCTTATAAATGTGAAGTCTGCCTCTTTCTGTCTACAGGGCTTTGGTTTTTTTTTTTTTTAAGACTTTTATTTCACATATACGAGTGTGTGTCTGTGTACGTCTCTGCACCATGTGCTCGCAATGCCCCACGGAGGCCAGAAGAGGGCACTGGATCATCAGGAACTGGGGTTACAGATGACCGTGAGCCACTATGTGAATGTCGGGAACTTAACTCAGGCCTCCCCCCCCCAGTGCTCTTTAACTGCTGGGCCCTCTCTCCAGCCCCATGCTTGTAGTTTTGATGCAGCCAAGACAGCTGTGGAGAAAAAGAACCAAAGGGCACAGAAGTAGCCAAGGAGGCCTCAGCCGCTTGTGGCAAGCATTGAGAGCTCTTGGTGCCCTCATTTGAATGTGGCAGGTGGAGTGTCCCTTAGGTCAAGCACACAGTTCACATGGTGTCTCCTTCTCAGCACCTGGGCTGTTTATGTTCCTGTTCCAAAAAGCCCCGAAACACCCTCTGCTTTGAGGGTTGGGAGCCTCTGCACGGTATTCCCAAGACTAGATGCAGCGAAATGTTTTCAGAGATAGAACACAGGACAAGGGGATGGGGATGGGCGTGTGTGTGTGTGTGTGTGTGTGTGTGTGTGTGTGTGTGTGTGTGTGTGTAGGGGAGGGCACAGGGCTTAAGCTTCCTAGGAGAAATTATTGTAGATTTTTACAGAGAACGGTGAGCTCAAAGCTATCATTACTACTCCTCCCTTCCCCAGAGCTTTCTGGGTGCGAAGTCTAGAAAAGACCCAGTCTTGCCTGCAAGTTAGGGGACTGTGTTTAAATCCACATTCGTTTCCCTCATCCTCTGCCCTGCATGTAAGTTATCTGTTAAGGGACTCCCTCTTCATCACAGAAAGAACAATAGAAGTTGGGTGTTGGATTCCAATAAATATTTAATTCATGAAAATAATCTTATATGTTCCAAAACACACTCTAAAGCTATTTTTGTTCTCCAGAAAGCGCCCATTACAGGTAAATTACACAGCTTACTACCTCAGCATCAGGACTGCCATTAGTACAAATTTTAGGCTCGACAAAGACCAGTAGATAATGTTAATTTCAAATCCAGAAACTAAATATACTCCGTGCCTTTTATTACTCCTTTTTCTCTTAAGTTTTATCGGTTGCTTCTCATCTTAACAATATGTCTTTACATCCCGCCATCACACTGCACCGTAATGATATTAATATTTTATAGAATCGGTATTTATAGTTCTTTATTTAGAGACAATGCAGTAGGTCTGCAGATATCAGAGCCCGTCTGGAATGGTGCCCTCCAAATAATGATGAATTGCTTGTGCGGAATGCCATTTGCTAATTATATCCATGATTTACTGTGGAGCAAGGCTTAAATCATTCATTTCAGTCTTGCGTAACAGTGCCATAGAATTTTTAGGTTTAAAAATGGTTTCCATGTGTATAATTTAAACAAATTCTAGCGCTCTTGTATACACAAAATATCCGAAGCCACTCATTTGTTACATGCTCCGTCTCTTTAAACTTCTACTTTTAATGATCACTGTGGTCGAAATTATTATGCTTAATTTTCATAATCATAGCCTTTAAATCTACAGCCGTTCTCACATGTTAGATAAAGAAAAAGATAGCTAATTGTGTGTAGATAGTGTGTCATCCCTCAATAGTCCCCAATGGTACAAAATCATTAAAAAAGCTTAAGAGCACAAATTATTCTTCTATTAAAAAACAGTCGTTCTCTAGCTAATTATTAGTTTGGGCTGCTTTGTTCAAAGAACAAATGTTGATCCTTCTAGCCTTGTTCCGCACACCAAAAAATGAGATAAACACTTGGTTTTTCTCTTCCGTCGATATCTTGCAGGTGAGAAACCCTACAAGTGTCCTCACTGTGACTACGCTGGCACGCAGTCAGCGTCTCTGAAGTATCACCTAGAACGACACCATCGGGAGCGGCAGAATGGAGCCGGGCAGCCCCCGAACCCGGAGCACAAAGATGAGACCTCCAGCAAAGCGCCTTTGTTTATGAGGCCAGACATCCTGCGCGGGGCCTTGAAGGGTCTCCCCGGAATCGACTTCCGAGGTGGTCCCGCCTCTCAGCAGTGGACACCCGGCATGCTCTCCTCCGGAGATCACTCGGGGCAGGCCACTGGCATGTCCTCAGATCTGTCCTCAGACGCGTTGAAGAGCTCCGACCTTCCTTCCAAAAGCTCGCACTTCTCAGAGATCGGAAGGGCTTACCAAAGCATCGTGAGCAACGGCGTGAATTTCCAAGGGTCCCTGCAGGCGTTCATGGACAACTTTGTCCTCAGCTCTCTGAAGAAGAAGGACACAAAAGACAAAATCCCATCCGATGCCCATTCCATGAAAGCCCACGCTGCTGCTGCTGCTGCTGCTGCTTCTGGGGACGGTGGAGAGGAGAGGCCCGGCGGGAAGCCCTCCCAGCGCAAGTCGGAGAAATCTCAGTACGAGCCCCTGGACTTGTCGGTGCGGCCGGACGCCACCACCCTCCCCGGCTCCTCCGTGACCGTGCAAGACAGCATCGCGTGGCACGGCTGCCTGTTCTGTGCGTTCACGACGTCGTCCATGGAGCTTATGGCCCTTCACCTCCAGGCCAACCACCTGGGCAGAGCAAAACGCAAAGATCACCCCGCAGGGCTGACAGTCAACTGCAAAGAGCAGGTGCGCGAGGCCAGCAAGGTCTCTGGGTCGCCCTCCATGCAACCAAGCAAAGAGATGGCCCTACCCAGCGCCGTGGGCGCTCTAGACCCTGCTCCCGAGAAGATGGCCCAAGGACCGGCCAAAGAGACTCTAGGAGACCAGAAAAGCGGTCAGTGGCCCAGCCACGTGGACCCCGCCTTTTGTACCTTTCCGTCTGACTTCTACAAACAGTTTGGCGTCTACCCCGCAATGGTTGGCTCCGGGGCCCCAGGCTCCTGCTCCAACAGGAACCCTGCTGGGAAACCCCACCCGGAAGATGATGCCCCACTCCTGATCCCGGAAACCGCAAACAAAAACGCGGCCGATGACCTCTCAGATATTGCCTCCTCCGAGGACATGGACTCCTCCAAGGGAGAAAACAATGAGGATGAGGAGATTGATACCGAACCGGAAATGATGAGCAAGCCGGTGGTGCTGCCTGCTCTCAGCAAGGATGGCAGCAGCAGCAGCAGCAGCGAGGGCGTGGACGGCCTGCTGCCCCCAGGCGCCTCCCAGCCCATCCAGGGACTGGTCTCACCTTTAGCTCAGCCATCAGAGGAACAGTGGCACAGCCCAGGCCTCCTTCCTGCCCAAGACCCCTCGGCGGCGGGGCTGCCAAAGCCAGAGCGGGGTCCCCCAGGGCTGGAGAAACCCATGAGCATGCTGTCGGTCCTCAGGGCCTACAGCGCCGATGGCTTAGCAGCCTTTAACGGGCTTGCAAGCAGCACAGCAAATTCTGGATGTATCAAGAGGCCAGACTTGTGTGGTAAGTTTTAGAATCCTCTTCCTTCAGTTCATTCCCCCCCCCCAAAAATCACTGTTAAATTGTGCATTTAAAAAAACAATGGGGTTGATGTACCCATTAGTAAATTTTAGACTGAACCTTAAAACAATAAAACAGTTTTAAGTGCTGTATATACAGTGTAGACAATCATGGAAGTCAAGTCTCATTACTTTTGGGGTCCAGCTTTCTGTGCAATGCCTGTAACGGAGGCATGGGAAGGAAACAGTATGAGCTCTCCTCTCTTTCATCTATAAGTTGAGGAGGGAAAGAAAATTCACCTAAAAAAGCAAAAGTGGGTGACTTGCAAACTTCCCAGTATTTTAACTCATTCAAAAAAAGAAAAAAGAAAAGAAAATGCCTAACTCGTGTATTTCTTTTCCAAGCCAAATCTACTTCCCTAGGCTCCTTTTATTGACTTAGAGGATACTAAAAATCATCACACTAACCGTGGCGAGGGACTGTCTCTCTAAATTAGGGAGATGGCTTCGGGATGTTTGTGACTCACCTGTGACATATCAAATGGCTGTGACTGTGACTTTGGCCTTCTGCTGTTGTTGCCTTCTGTCTGTCTGTGTCTGTCTGTCTAGCCTGTCTGTCCGTCTGATCTTGTGTGGATCAGCACCCCTTTCCCTCCTTGAAGAATACTCTTACCCATAGGAATTCCAGATCCCACAAAGCACAATGCTAAACCTGAGCTGGATGGAATGGATACTGGGCTGGGCAGGGAGGGTCAGCATCACGTCCTTGGCACCCAGGTGTTCATGTGTGGAAGTCTGACCTGCAAAGAGGGTCCCAGTGTATTTATTGTTCCCTGCGTACCCCCGCCACGGAAATCCCACCGCAGACAAGCAGCGCGGGGTGTGCCATCCAATTTACGCATGAAGTTCTGAGATTTTCCACCCTCCTTCTGTGGAAGGGAGCGAGAAAGGGAAAGGGGATGGGTGGGCCCAGGGGAACACTTCTGAACCCCAGCATCCTGTTTCCCTCAGCACGGAGCGGAAGGCATGAAGCTAGGCCGTTTATAATCTGAATCGATAGAGTTCTTTTTGTTTCTCCGTCACTCCCCTAATTCACTAAGAAGTGGATCAAGCAGTCAGAAATACCTTTTTGAATCGTCAGAAATCACTAAATGGATTTATGACAGCTCAAAAAAATATTGATGGTTCCTTATACTGAATGATTCACACAGCCCCATTAGCCAGTACCCCGGATCTATTTTTAACCATGTGCAATTCATTACTCTTGAAGCTGTTAAAAACAATATTTAAAAGAAGGGAAGGGATTTATATCTGTTCAGTTCCCCACCCCTTCTGAACAGAATGGTATTTAAATCTTTTTCTTTTATTTTTTTTTAAGTTTGGTTGCAGTGTTTTTATAATTATTATTATTATTGTTGTTGTTGTTGTTGTTTGAGGGTTTTTTTTTTAGTCTATTTTCAGTTCTTTCAATTACCTACATAGGACCATGGCTCTTGCCAGGAATATGCACATCAGAAAGGATCAAAACCTGGCATGCGCATAAGCTCATTATTATTGAAATGAGCGCGTATTACCCCCATTAATTTTCTCATCTTCCTATCAGTGTGGAAGAAAGTCTGCCTGCCTTGAGGAAGCTTGTCCAGCGGTGTCTTTTTGCATCCTACCTTGGATGGAGGGGGTAACATGGAGAAGCGGGGGTGCTGGGTCCCCTGGGATTTCCCAGAGCTGGCAGGAGTTTCTAACCCCTCCCCAGATATCACTCATATGGCATTCCCATGGTATATGTAAAACACTGTCCAGTACACTTCTTAGGCAGCAGACCCTGGGATGCCCCTCTCTTTTGAAGTACATGAAGACCTTTGGGCCAGCAAGGTAGGAAGGCTCTTTGGTGGGCTTCTCCAGTCAAGGGTCCAGCTCCTTAGACTAAAGTATCAACCCTCATTCTGGCCACTGGCCACCTGTTTTCAGACAGCATCACTTCTGTGTTTCAGTTGGCCCCGTTTCTTCTAGAAGCTTCTACTGTGGGTTGGTAGCGAGTGGGATGTCTCTTCCTGTCTTCTGGTCCCCAGGCATCAGGCCCAGCATCATAAATTATAATCTGGTATCCTTGCTGGGTGTGGTGGTGTCCTAGAACCCAGAAAAGCCATAGTCATCCTGGCTGAGAATTGGTATTTCAAGAGGGAAGCCGATGCAATTTTCCCTTCCTCCGTCTAGTTTTCTCTCTTGCTTGAAATGGTCTACAGATTGTCAGTTCCAGACTACCACCAGCTTCAAGGCATGGTCCCTAAATTATATCCAACCTTTATGTCTTCTCTGCCCCACTTGAAGTAGATGTGACTTTGCAAACAGGTCCAGCCAGCAGCTAGGCTTCCTCATGGAGCTGGGCTTTGCCCAGTCCATGCCTTATTCCCAGATTTCTTATCCCAGAGTTTAGAGCCTCATTTCATTGGGTCAATGAGCCTCGAATCCTGCTTGGGTGCAGTAGGAATTCTGGTGGCTGTAGCTCAAATTCTTCTGTGTAAGGAAGAACTCTATTTTCCCACAATGTAGAAGCACCTGAAAACCAATCCGTAACAACTTTGCCTGGGTCACGTAGACAGACCCCCACAGAATCAGGAACCCCCTTTTGAACCCGCCAGCAAATCATAAAATGTGTCTTTTCTCCTTCGTGTGTATAGGACTGTGTGTTGGAAGTTGTTCACCCAGGTGGTACACTAATTACTGCCCTGTTGCTTCCTAACTTTGAGAACTTTGGTCCTAAGTCCCCAGGTGTTTAGATCTGAAGTCCTGGCCAGTGTACACTTGCCATTTATAACTAATATGTTCTGGCTTGGCTGCAGCAGAGCAGGCTGGGGAAGAGGCTGGTCCATCCTTTTCGTGACGACAGTCCCATCGTAAAGCAAGATAGTAACTTTTCAAAAGGACCGTGCTTGGGGGATGGTATGTCGTCAGTGTGTCAGGGACTTGTTCTAGACGATCCTATGGGAGATCCCAAGCCATCTCAGAATCAGTTGGAGGGCAGTTTATTAGGCCGCTGTCAGAGAGGGTCAGATATCACTGGTCTGATCTCATTACATGATATCCCATTCTGGCCAAAACTTTATAGCTTCTGGAGGTGACTTAGGATCCAGGGATGCCCCCACGCTCCCCTCTTCTGTTGTACAATGTGAACACACAGTGCAGGCAGTCCATAGAGCACCTGGAGATCACAGCATAGAAATGATGAGAAACAGGATTTGTGTGTGTGTGTGTGTGTGTGTGTGTGTGTGTGTGTGTGTGTGTAATCAACTAGGCCACCCCAACCTTGCTTTTTGAAACTGAGACAACCAGTCAGAGCTGCCTAGAATTTCTGTGTTAGCTTTCTCAAACATGGTTTTCTTTGTCCTTTCTGGGTCCTCGGGGCTAGGAAGATAACACATAATTCTTGTCAAGTTAAGGGGCCGGAAAGAAAAAAAAAGCACAATTCCTCTTCCCTTTGCTCTGCCCTGGAGTTGCTACCACTCAAGGAAGCCTAGTCCCATGTGGGAGGATCCCTCAGCGTGTTGATCCTGGTGATCCTGTCAGCAGTAGGGGTCAGGTCAGGTGATCCCCCGGTGGATGGGAGGAAGTCAGTGGGAAGACAAGGCCACCAACAGGAATAGCTCTCCAGTATTCCCAACGCCTTAGTCTCAGTGAATTCTAAAACTGCCTCAACCCAAATAACGGAAGGAAGGCCCACTGCATTTTACAAGGATGAGAGAGTGGGGAGCCTAACCTCCCACGCCAAAGAGGCAATATCAAAGCCTCGCTATGTCACACGTTCTGAAACGTATGACGTGGCACAATGGAACACAGTGACCAAACCAAACCATCTTCAAAGGTGGCTCCTGTCCTACCGTGACGTCTCTGCATTCACTGGCAGCCTGAAAACATCCACCATTTTTTTTCCCTTCAGCTATGCAGCCTAGGGGTCCAGGTCAACACATATTTCCCCGGCAGGGCAGGGCTCGAGGGTAAATGCAACAAGTCTTACTTTCACTCCGCTCTGTCTGATGACGCTTAAGAAGCCGTAGACGGTGTGACTGTGTACCAGTGAAGCTTTTGCGAGTTAAAGCCAGGGACAGGCTGGAACCGGAGAGGCTAGAGTTGGCAGCCCCTGCTCCTCTGTGAAGAGGGGTGTACTCCCGGGTCACCGCCAAGAGTAAGAGGTGGAGAAACCTGCCCTCCACTGCCCCGGCAGGCAGAGAGAGATGAAGTAGGCAGAACTTCTGCCAGCCAAGGAAGTATAGGGCTCCATCTGCCAAGCAGACCTTCCATAGGAAGCCGGGGGCATGTGAGGACTTCCAGAGGGGTAACCTTTCCGGTCTCCCCACAACACCACAGGCAAAAAGAGATGGAATGGCTGTGACTTAAGCTTTTTTGGCACAGCCGGCTCTCCACAGTCCAGGGAGAAGTTAAGAGCCTGCGGCAGATGGCCCCCAGGACAGATGAGCATCCACCTGGAGGTGCATACAGCTGGAAGGTGACACTATATCCCAATGTCTTTAAGTTGCCCTTTCCCCTTCAGCACCGAAACGACATCAATGAACGTGATGGAGAGTTTTGTTTCCTCATTCCCCCACGCCAGTCAGTGCACAGGAAACTCATCACCGTGATGTCCCCAGCCCAGCGGCAACCATTTCTGTTTTGGTAGTCCCATCTTCCTTGTGTTTTGTTTTGTTTTGTTTTTCCCAAGAACTGGCTGAGGCCTGTGGCCAGGTAGAGAACCCCAAGGCAGCTTTTTAGTTAGGGTTTCTATTGCTGCAATGAAACACCATGACCAGCAGGGAACTTAGGGAGGAAAGGCTTTATTCTAGCTTACACTTCCAGGTAACGGTCCATCACCGAGGGAAGTCAGGACAGGAACTCAAGCAGGGCAGGAACCTGGAGACAGGAGCTGATGCAGAGGCCACGGAGGGCGCTGCTCACTGGCTTGCTCCTCATGGCTTGCTCAGCCTGCTTTCTTATGGGACCCAGGACCACCAG